AAAGTGGTGAAAGCACGGCAGTGCAGAGGGAAATAAGAGCAAATTGAAAGACGCTTTCAGGGAAGCCTGTTGTGTCAAAATATAATTAGTGCTCTTCAGAAAGCATTTGTAGCCGTGGCCTCTGTAAATCCCCGGGGCATTCACTGTTAGCTCTATCTATTGTCCCCGCAAACCCAATTACCCAAACAGAATTATGGACAGCCAATATTGAAAATGGTTATTATGGTCTCCTAAGACACGCAGGTGACTTATCTGCTGTTTGTACGAAGCCCTTTTCCTTTGTGCCGTTTCGTACTTTCTTTTCCAAACACACGGAAGTGAACTCTGACTTTGTGAACAAGTTTCACGTTTTCATTGTTTGTCTGAGATGAAAATGTCTCGATGTGGAAACGCGAGTTGGAAAAACATTTTAGTGTCTTAATAAAGTCTTAAAATATTTGTTTGTGTCGATCTTTTTCTCAGCGTTACCTAAAGGGAAGTCAGTTGGCGTGACTTGGACGCAGAGACTAGAGTAATAATGAGGTTATCCCAGATTTCTATCATTATTAGTTAATAATTGGGTGTTGTAATAATTAGCGATGTCCGGTCGACCGATAATATCGGCTCGATATTAGCATAATTATGTAATATGGGTAATATCGGTAATAACGTTAGCGGTTTTTCCTCCGATAATGAAAATCCGATAACACAATTTTAGGGACTCTTTGTCCATAAAGGGACATTTTTCAGGTTCCTTCAAAGAAAGAGGGTTTTTTAAGGTTTATGATTCAGGATTACGGTTGGGTCAGGGATTGAGATTGTTATGCATTTGTAATGGTAAAGGTTAAGGTTAAGGTTCGGGATTAGGGAATACATTATGTCAATGTGGAGTACTCACAAAGTACTCTAAAACCAGTGTGTGTGTGTGTGTGTGTGTGTGTGTGTGTAAACCCCAGCTGCTCTCTGTCGGCCCTTCTGTTGTCTGGTCTGAACTCATTTAACCTAAAATCCAATCAGATTTGTGCAGAGACTGGAGAGCTTGTCAGATGTGTTTTTCAGCTCCCGCTGGACTTTTCTGTCAGATGTTCGACTTCACTGCTGGAAATGGCACCAGAAGACGACGAGGACAATGCTAAGGGCTGGGGTTTTTTTAGCTCAAGCTAAATTGTCTGAATGTGCTGTTATGTGGCTTTTGTCACATTTTCTTAAAGGTAGCCATTTGATGTGACTTCTGCATATAATGACAAACACAGGACACAACAGGAGCTGTTTGGAAATAACATTTATTTTGGGTTTTTTTTCCCATAAAAAATAATCTCTGCTCCAATTTTTTGTTTTAAACAAAATGAATACTCTTTGCTTTGGAACAGTGTTTTCATCAGATGCAGCCCAAACTGGGATGTTGGATCTACAGCAGGTGGTAATGAACCCATAACCTTCTGGTTGGAGACAAGACGCCTTCCATTTTTTCATCTTTCTGTCTGACTTTAGTTCCACGTGCAGCTGTTATTTCTGTGTGTGTTAGCGTGATATCATGACGTGTCACATACGTGTCACATACATGTCGTCCACAACCACATCATGAAGCTGAACAGCCTTGAGCTGAGAGTTTTTAAATCTCGGTTGATTTGTATAACGCTCCATAAAGGTTCTAGAAACTTGACGGTGCCCCCTGCTGTCCGACATTGCCCGGCATCTCATTTTTTTCCACATGCTTTTGCAGATTGCTATCAGCTAACACTTCGGAGCATTAATGAGAACAGTAACGCGCACATTTCATTTTGATGACTCGACTTGATACGGGCTGAACCTCTTTCATTAGCACTAATTGAAGCATTAATTCAGCAGAGATAATGAACTGCTGAGGAACACAGGAGATAACAGCGCCATCTTTCTCGTCTGGCTTCACCGGAGCAGGGTTTGTCTGCTCATGGCAGTATGACTCACCAGGATTAATGTCACTCATTTCCTGTGGACTATAATCCTGCGAGGTGTGAACTATCACAACACTCTGGAATCTGAGCTTTTATTTTTTTTTATTTCAACAGTAAAAGGTTTCATCTTCAACTGAGGTTAAATAACACGCGTTACATTTATTAAAAATAATAATAATAAAAAACATTGTGAGAGATTATTCACAGCAGCTGCAGTGAGGTTTGGTCTCATTTGAGTCCAAACAAAAATCGATTTATTTTTGAGACAGAGAGCGATTCCCAAACTGTCCAACTGTTTTACCAATTACATTTTATGGGTAAAATTGGCCACTTGTTCCATATATTGCAAAATCCAAACCTGCTGTTTCACTATTTTGATGCCCCTCGCTGACTCACGGGGGGGTTGACTTTTTCAAACAACGCTGCATCGTAACACAGCTGCACACATGGAAAAAGCAACGGCTTCAAGTTCAGGATGAGAAACCATTTAATTGTGCGCAAACAAGAGAGAGAGAGACAGAGAGAGACAGAGAGAGAGAGAGAGAGAGAGAGGACAACATGACTGTACTGTACATCAGTCTAACACAGGCAGGACAGCACTGACATGGTAACGTTGAACTGTGTACATGTGTCAGTGATGGACGACTGACAGACAATCAAAAACAACATGGCGACCACCACTCCACCCACTGTACGCTGTCATGTTTTTTAAATTAAAAATGTGATCAAAAACAACATGGCGACCACCACTCCATCCACTGTAATTAAAAATGTGAGTTCCCTTTCACAGACGTAGAGTTTTAATGGGATGTTTATTGACAGCGGATATTTATTGACTCCCACCTGGAAATATTTTCCAGGACTTTTCCAGGACCACTGTCTTCAACAACGTTAAGCCGGGCCGCTGACCTGAGGTTGAAACCTCAACAAACACATGCTGGGAGGTGAGATGGTATTTTAAGCCAGAGGTTTTTCAGAGAAATTAAAACATTTTTTCCCCACAGCGTGTGTAAATACTGTGTATCAGCACATGGACGGTGGATATTTCTGCCCATTCATTAAAATACGTTAAACATTTTAATCTGATCAAGTCTTGACAGCGACACATGTTTTAACCTGTTTCCATTCCTAAAGCCGTGAGAAGCAGGGAGGAGAAATCATGTTCCACTTTCCCAGGACATTTGACCCTTTTTCTAAAATTCCAATTGTTATCCACGACTAAAGCAGTTGGGAATTCATTTTCCAGGTTTTCCAGGACATGTGGAAACCCTGCCTCAGCACCGTTTGACATGAGATCCAAATAAAAACCTGCAGAAAGACAGTGACGCTGGTTTGCAGTGAAAATGAACAAAAACTAAAACAAAACAATCCTCCAGAGTAGGACAACATG